AACGTTTGGGAACCACTGCACTTTGGTTCCCAAAGTTGGGCTTGGGACCCAATTATGGGTCATGAAGCACCTTGGATAATCTCCAGAAATCATTTTAAAGGGTAATAATCGCTGATGCAATATTTTCCCTATAATTATTACAAAAACACAAAATAAGTAAAAATAAGTATTTATATTTGTGTATAAGCTGTTTAGCTAGTCAAAAAGCCTGTGTTTTTAGGGTTATCAAAGAAGCTCATGTACTCAGACCAGTAATATTTGGGGTCACAAGTTTTTGCCATGGATATTTTGGGGGTCAGAGGACAAAAAGTTTGGGAACCACTGCTTTAGAGGATGTTTGAATTCATGSATAGCTATTTACAAAGTCTTATGATAAAAGCTTGGTGAGATACCCTTACATCACTTTCTCATATGTGTCTTTCTCTTCCCAACACAAAATCCATGATGCGTCACAGAGTCAACACAAACCAAGGTACCTTTATATGGAGATCACATCAGCAGTCGCAAGGCTCAGGCCATGAAGCTAGCCAACGACCGCAAGAAGTATTTGGCTAGACTGGGACACGTCGGTAACCGAGAGCCAGCGCCAAGTCTGGATAAACTGGAGCCAGAAATTGTAAGTGATTTGGAGGTTACGAAGATTATCCAAGGTTGCCACATTTTCAATTCCAAATTAGGTTTGAATTCCTTAGTTTAAACCAAAAACAAAGACTTCAGAGCATTTTGATTTTTAAACCAAATTATTTACACCTGTGCTTGTGTGTAGGGACCCTGCAGGAGGAAATTAGATGGTCTCATTCACAGCATGAAGGACACTTCTCGGGTCTTGGCTCTTTCTTTGTACGTACCCAACTGTGACAAAAAGGGCTTCTTCAAGCGTAAACAGGTTTGGATGAATCCTTTATGTTGAAGCTGTTCATTTACTTAAATAGGGTTTTTTTTTTGTAACAATGACACTCTAACCTTTTCTTACCTGCAGTGTAAGCCGTCTCGTGGCAGGAAACGGGGAATTTGCTGGTGCGTGGACCGCTTCGGTGATAAAATCCCCAGCATCAACTACGCCGGAGGGGAACTACAGTGCAAAGATCTGGACAGTGGCAACAACAGCAATAAATGAGGGTGAACCACTCGCTGAGCCCGTTTCTTCTCAAAACCTGCCAAACAAGCTAGAACTCTTTATGACTGACAATCAGGAGATCACAGCACCAACACTTTTATATGTAGTAGAGTGTGATGGACTGCATTGTTAATTTGTGAAATGGAGCCAATCTGAAAAGACTGCTGAACTAAGAAGTCTATGCGTGTAGATCTTGACTCTGGCTTTCCACTGACTGTGTATGTCAATATGAGTTTAGCAACCATAATCTTCTATTTTTTCTTTAAAAAAATCAGAGACACGATATATCTTTAATGTAACTTAGTCCTGACATTTTTCAGATGTTTGTTTCAGAGTTAAACATCACCACAAACAGAGAAATACTGAGTTGGATTTGTCAAAATCAGGACATTTCAATGCAGAATTTTAGCTTCCAATGTGTGAAAAATTGAATTATTTTTAAAATAATTGGGTAATTCTAAAAACATTTGTTAACCCTGACTTCTAAACATTAATATTTTTCCTAAAAGCCAATGTCTAGCACATTTGTGGCTAATTTGTTAGCTATGGTAACATGCTAATATCTCAACTTGTGGGCATTGAGTTTAAAAGTTAAATTTTTTTGAGTTCCAGGTTCCCCTTTGTGTTATTTTAAATGCAGCATTCTTCCTTAGTTATTGCAAGACAATGCTAGTTTTATGTAGTTACCAGATTGGTAAATGAACTCAGGAGGACAGAGAAGATAAGCTAACAATCATTTCAACTCAAACAGTGATTTCACTAATAAAGTTACTTAGTTATGACCATTTCTTTAGGATTACAAATAGTACTAAATTATAAATACAATTGTACTGGAACAATAAAAATCATTCTTATTTAAGTCTATCTCCAGCTACTTGTTTTTAGTTCAGAACAAAGATTTTAAAAAAGAACAGCTAGCCAAATTCTGCTCGCTAACGGCTCCGAAGTTTGGTAAATGACAAGCCTTTTGTAGTGTATCTTTAATCTTGTCTAATTTTGGTTAGCTTTGAACCAGATGGTCAAATTAAAATAAAAATAAACTTTATAAATAGTTATACACTGAACAAACATCCCCATAACATGGTTAGCATTAGCTGAAGCTGATTTTCCCGCCATTTTCAGGAAACATTTGTGTGCCTCGGCTTGTAAAACGTGACTTTCACTAAATAAGTAGGTTGAATTTTTGGCAATCAAACCAATTGTAATCATTTGTTTTATCCAGTTTTATTTTGCTTCCCTGTGCTTGGCCAGTAACATTCTTGCACTACAACAAGCAGAATCACAGAAATAAGCAAAATGGATAAAACTGCGGTCATAAAAAATGCCTTTGTACTCGTAAAGGTTGACACCTGACTGCTTCGAAAGGTCTTGTCCAGAGGATTAGGCTACTTTCACACTGCAGGGAAATGTGAACCCAACCAGATTTTTTTTCATGACAGTTTGAATGTGACAAAGGCAGGTTTTTCAAACCAGATCCAGGTCTTTTCAGTATGTGGTACAAGATTAGATAAATATCTGACTTCATTAAGGTGAGGGTATATGGATCCATCCAAGTAGGGCTGCCATGATTAGTCCATTAATCCACCACTGATTATTAAAATAATCGATGACTAATTTAATAATCGATTAATCGTTTTTTTTTTTTTTGTTCTTCTTTACTTTGTTTTTCTCTCCAAACTGCTTTGACACCTTCCACTGCCACATCTGCCTTTCTGTCCTTGACACACATGCACAGTAGTGGTAACTGGGGTAGGCCGTGGACGTCACAAGACTTTATACAGACAGGCTCTGGTATCATGGCTACCTGACAACAGAGCTCAAAAGTGTGGGATCATTTTAAGAAAATGAAAGAGAAACCTGTGCAATATCTGCAGAGCAGAACTTGRCTTCCACAGCAATTATTTTTAGTTAGCATATAGCTAAAATCTAACCATGGTTATATAATAGCAGCTGCTTTCTGGCGCCATAAGCTCTATGTTTTATATTCAATTAAAGTATGATCCGATTGGTCGACTAATCGAAAAAAAATAATCGATGATTAATCGACTATAAAAAATAATCGTTTGTGGCAGCCCTAGATCCAAGTAATAATGATGATAACCTCGATTCGTGCAGTTTAAAGTTTGGAATTCCGTACATCTTCAGCCACGGAACAGAAGTCCAGTTTCTGCGTTAAATTTTTTTTGTTTTGATTTGTTTGTTTTTCCATGTTCTGGATGATTAGGAATCCACAGAAATCTATAGGTCAGTATCAATACAAAAGTTACTGTATAAATACATGCTGCACCAGAGTAGCTGACCAAAGGCAGGTTCAAATGTAAACACTGAGCTAGCATAAACAAATAATTTAATTGGCTCTGATTGCACACCTTCAGAATCAATACACACGTGCTAACACGTAGCGTCCATATTTACTTCTGTAAACTCAGCATGTTGAGTGTGATGTCACATCTTCACGCCTTGGTGAGTTCACACTGGATCTGATGGAGGTCACATTTAAAATATAATGTAAACATCCATGTAAAAAATTTGATTTGAGCAAAAAAAAAAAAAAAATCAGAATTAAGCATTAAGACCTGTAGTGTGAACATAGCCTTATTCAAAAATAGAAAACAGTGTGCATGCTTTTGAGTCTGCAGCTCTCCGCTTTAAAAAAGCTGGCCAGCAGAGCCTCCTTAAGCTACACACACCCACATTTTGTGTACATTCCACCCTCACAACGTGAACACAAATTGTATGCAAAGGCCCCCGCGCTGTTTATTTTTCCATGTGGAGGGTCCTCGCTGCCACCACACATGCAAATCTTGCAGGGTTCATTGGGTCCTTTATCCCACGAAAAGCAAGGTTGCTGAGTTTTGATGTAAATCAAGTGCCTTCCGCCCCATGCCGCTTTGAATCTTGATTTGCATTGGGACCCATTGAGTTGCCGAATAAGGAATGCCTTAGCAAAGTGGGAAAAAAAAAAAAAAGATGTGGATGTGATTTCCTGTCCGTGATCTTCCAGTCAGTGCTGCTAAACGTATATTGACAAAGGACAGCATTGTGTTATGTGGTTCAGATTTTTTTTTCTTACAGTCATTATTTTCTTAATGTTTAGTATCATTTTAGATTCTTAGCACCTCGTCTGACGGCGGCACATCAGCCTGTTTCTCATAAAACACCTCTCTTGTCAAGTCAAGCTCATATAGACAAAGCAGACTATTTGAAACACTTAAGAATCTCAGTAAAACAGATGAATGTGAACTTTAAGGTGGAATATTTACCACACCTGTAATTGATGTACTCTTCTTTTTGATTATTTTGTAAAGTCACTATTTAAATAAAGCTCTGTACTCACATTACCTGTCAACACTTTTTGTGCAAATCGCCTAAACTGCACTTAAAATGCTGAGTCAGATGTTGCGTTTGCTGAGAGCAATAATGCGACACTGTGATAAAACTCCCTGCAGGTGGTTTCTTAACTCTTGTCAAAGACAAAAAAAACAAAAAACAAAACCAGAGGTCATGGTTGTAGTGTTGTAAGACCACCAGTAGTGGGCGGTGCACGCCAACAGAAGGCTGTCACAGCTGGCGTTTAAATAAAAACACAAGCACAGGTTGAACATGTTTTTTCTTTTATTTGCATTAGCTCTTTATCATGTCCTGCTGAACATTAACTACTAGTCGATACTCTGCATTTAAAGCCAGGCTGAACTCAAAAGACTAGCGGGAGGTGCAACAGTAGTCTGCAAGCTGAAGCACGAAAACACACCTAAAAACACCCAACACACTGAAGGTTTTCTCTCTTTTTTTTTTTTTAGCCACACAACAGTACAAAACACAGATAACAAAGCACTCTGACAGTCACCATTAGTAAAAGCAGTGTTACAGACGCTCCAACTGAATACCTGTGTTAAAGGAGTCTACTCTTTACTCTAGTCTGAAGTTAAATCTTATGCAACAACTTGGATTCTATCATTTAACCCTTCATGGTGGTTAAGATTTCAAATCCCAACGTCATCCGATGAACTAGAGACACAAACACACAGAAAGAAATAGCTTATAGCTTACTCAGTTGTTGTTGTTTTTTTTCTTTGTTTTTATTGTTCCCAAGTTTTTTCTTTGTTTTCAATCATTTCATGCCACGTTAAATCTGGGCAGTGTCGGGCAGCACCAGCTCCAGCTCTGTAAGGTATTGGCTGCAGTTGGGGTCACCCCTCACGGTCGGGGCTGATGGGATGCGTCGGCCAGTGTGGGGGTCCACACACCAGCACTCGCCCCTCTGACCGTGGAGAGACATCTTGCACTGGGAAAGGGAAAGTTTTTATTGTAGCTTTGCCTGCATGTTTCCTGTTTGCCTGCTTCAAGTTTGAAAAAATGTTGTGTTTGCAGAAACGATGTGTCCATGTCTGAAGTCACCTGTTTTAGGTTATACTGCCCTCTCTTGTCGCAGTTGGGGATGTGCAACGCATAGAGGTCTTCCAGGGGACCTCGGTTATCTCTGAAGGGCATCTTGGATATCCTCTCGAGGACCTGGTCAAGCTCCTGCTGACACTGCGTCTTGAAAAGAGCAAACAAACAACCGAACAGTCATGTTCACAGGTCCAAATAGTGGCAATGTGGGTTTGCTGAGTGCACCGTATTCCTGTCAGGACTAAAATGTTCTGTACAAGCTGTTCCATCTAACCCAATTTTTGTCAAGCTGTTTTTAAATCAAAAAAGACTATGAAATATCATCGAAACAAATCCAACCACACAAACGTGTTCCCCAGGACACATCCCCACCGAGTTGCGCTTGCCAAACAATCAGCGCATTTTTCACTCGTTCGCTATAAAAGCCCATATTAAATGCACAGACACGCGCTCACTCTACGAAGTACTGCGAAAGGTTTCCGGCTACGAGCAAATGAATCCGAATTCTTGCCAGAGGCGGATAAAAAATCTTGCCAAAGACCTTAGGTTTACCTCGCAAGGAAAACGGAGCCAAAGTTTCTGTTCGAGCAATAACCTTAAAATGGGTTTTTATGGCGGTTGGATCATAGCACGGGGCTAAACAGAAATGGTTGCAGTTGCAGGCCAGGTGTTTTTAAAGGTCAGTGAGTAGCTGCAATTTAGTTAATGGCCTGTCGTTTGATGAAATTCTTTTTTTAATGTTTCATGATTCTTTACTGGTCATAACAGGTACCTCATTATTTTCAAATACCACATTTTGGTACAGTTTAGATGTCACTTAGATGGGAACTGGATCCAAAACAGTTTGCAGAATATGTTTGTTTTCAGTGTTCTTGTGATCTCTTGTTTTCAGTTTATTCTTTAGGTCGTCACTTTTTCTCTCAATCAGTCCTGACGTGTACTGAACAGAGTCGTTAAAAAACGCTTCAGGAGATTGACCGCTTTGGTACGATCTTGACATAACATTGGAAGAGGCGGGCTGTCAATGTTAATGATTTATCATTAGTAAATTTCTGTCTATATATGCATATAAATATGAGTTTATTATTTGTTAGATTCTGCCTATTAGAAATATCATTCATCGCAAGTGTGTGTACC